ATATTAGCTCAGCACTGGCTGATCCTCCCTTTCTCGCTCTGCTTTAGATGATTTTCCCAATTCTGCTGATGACAGTAGAAGAGTTCCCAAGAAGAAATTTAGGAGAAACATCTCCAGAAGTGCCCTGGTTAATGTGCAGGAGCCAGAGGAGGCACTGCAGCCCTCGACATGCACAGAGACCTGGGGGCACAGGGCACTGTCCTGCCCCACGAGCTGCCAGAAACCCACCCCTGCCCGACCCTCACCGTGGCACAGGAGCTGGCCAGGGCCCAGGTGGGTTCCTCTGGGTTTCAGTGCCCTTTGCACACACCTGACTTCCAACACTTACTAGTGATGAGGTACAATTTGTAGGAGGAAACCTCTCCCGTGGAGGAGATGTTCTCCTCCCTCAGCCAGCCCTCCATCGCTCAGCTGTGCACACAGCACCTTCCCCACACACTTTTTGGTTCTTTTTTCCCCCCACATTTTAAATATGGCACAACTGTTTTCTGTCCAGACCAGAGGAGAGAGGTCCAGGCACAGCAAAGCAGCTCCAGCAGCTCCTGAAGGACAAGGCAGGGGCAGGAGGAATTCCTGGTGAGTGCAGCTGAGTGCCAGGCACAGCATCTCCATCTGCTGGCACTCAAAGCCCAGGACATGCCCTGATCACTCATCCTGCTTTTCACAGCCCCAGATTTGTGGGTCTGCACTGCAGCACAAAGGTGTGCACAGCCAGTGTGAGGAATTGTTCCTCCAGACTAACAGGCAATGTGTCCCCCTGGGAACACAGGCACAGAGGGATCCTTGGATGCTGCTCCACAGCCCTCAGCTCTGCCAGAGATATTAAAGAGTTGTACATTTGTTTGGGGGTTCATTACCCTGGAAGATTGACAGGCTCCCACAGAGTGTTTATATGAATCTGTTGAGTCTCTACATTTAATTACACTCGACTGAGTGCATTAACACCACCATGAATTTTTAAAAGCTATCAGTTTTATTCTGTTTGACTCCAAACCTGACAGTGTGAGCTGCTTTCCAGCACATCCTCCCCTCCAAGCCCTTTTCCCGGGTGGCTGCAGCTGAGCTCAGGCAGCTTCTGACCCTGGGGAGACCTCCCCCCACAGATCCCACTCCAGCAAAGCCTCATTGCCAGCAGGAAAACACCAATTCCAGCCCACAGGCCCTACGGGGGATAACGTTTCTGCCACGAGTCACGACAGGAAAGGCTCATTATGAGGGAAGAAATACATTAACAAGACTGAACTGGCTCAGAGATGGGCTCCCTGCACTGGGTCAGCAGCACTTCCCTCTCCAGACCACCAGCTCCATCAGAAATGGCCTTTATTCAGGAATAAATGAATTTAGTTCCCAGTTGCTCCTGCAGGGCATGAGACAACACACAACTCCTTTTCCCAGGGACCCCAGATCTGATCCCAGCGCTTGCCCCATGGAGAACTGGCAGAATCCTGAAAGGTGAGCTGCTTAAATGCTAGTGACAACATATGCAAACACAATATTTTGATTTCAATAAGCTGCCAATTAAAAAAACGAACTGGCATGAACTACAGCAAGAGGAGAATCTGGCACTGGCAGGGTGGACAGGGAGATTTTCCTGTTAACTGGAGTCTTTCCCACAGCCTGGAGAGAGGCAGCATCTCGTGCTATTTTTAACCTGCTCAAACATATTATTTAAATGCTGTGAACTTTAAGTAAACAGGGACATCTAATAAACATTAGAAAAACTTGCAAAAAGCAGCTATTCCAGGCAGATGAAACCATACTCCGGTGATTAACAGCACCTCAACTTTCAAAGAGCTGCAGCCAGAATGGCCATCAAGCAGTTGTTCCAGGCTCTACTGCCTTGTACCTTGTTTTCTGCTGCCTGGGCAGCCAAGTCAGGCTTTAAATACTTGTTTAATCAGTTGGTAAATGGGGCAGTTTATTACCTTCCTGCAATTCTGCCTCTCACCTGCACTGCAGCAAAGAAGCCCGACTGCTGTAGCACAGACCCTCTCCCAGACATTCCTGGGGAACAGGGACAGGGGAGGGACCTTTTCCCAGCTCAGCTGGCTGTGTTAATCACGGAATCCCAGAATGGTTTGGGTTGGAAGGGACCTAAAAGCTCATCCAGTCCCACCCCAGCCAGGGGCAGGGACACCTTCCACTGGACCAAGCCCCGTCCAACCTGGCCTTGGACACTTCCAGGGATGGGGCAGCCACAACTTCTCTGGGCAACCTGTGCCAGGGCCTAATCACCCTCACAGGGAAGGATTTTTTCCTAATATCCAATTTAAACCTGTTCTCTCTCAGTTGGAAGCCATTCCCCCTTGTCCTGCTGCTACACTGTCATTTAAATAGCTGGGGGTGGAAGTGTGACCCCCTCCCCCGGGAAGCATTCCCCCTGTGCTGGGACAGCCTGGCCTGGACTGTGCATCACCTGGTGGCACTGTGCTGCCCCTGGAATGTCTCTCCAGCCCCAACAGCCAGAGATTTCCATCTGTTCCCCGGGCACTGCACCAGCTCTCGCCTTGCACACCACGCTAATTACCAGCACGGACTGATAAGCATAATTAGAACCGGGGAAGTAACAAGGTATTACAAGTGACTCCTTATCAAACGAGCACAATTCTTAAACCTTTGATGTGAAAAGTTTTATAGAATTGGTAATTAACTTTGTCTGAGTGCGTCAGAATTTGACCAGCCACCACAGCACCCCTGGAAACCATCAGCAGCAAATCCCCACTGGAAGTGCACACCCTGGCCTCCTCACACCCCAGGCACGAGCAGGAAAGACAAGTGGTGGACAAGATTTCTTTGACTCCCTGTTTTGTGCCTCTCCACAGCCCAGAGATGTCTCTCCAGGGAAACAACCATCCTGAGTCACCACGGCGTAGTTTGGGGGATAAATCACCGAGGCAGGAGATGCTCTTATGGAATAATTTCGGAGCTCTGAGGTTACTGAGCCCAAGATGTGATCAGCACCACTGACACGTGGCCCATTTTTTACATGGCAGAAATGTAACACTGGTGTAAATCAGGAGGAGGTGAGTGATAAGGGGTGAGCTCAGCCCTCAGCAGCAGCCCCTGTGCCAGGCAGGGCATCAATTCCTGCACGATGAGAAAATGAAGAAGGATGATACATTTCACATTATTGATCCTATCTATTAGAGATAATGGCAGGTCACTCCATCCTCCCCAGCTGCCTCCTCATCCGTGGCATGAGCACACAGGGGCTGCACAGGAGGGGACTGGCAGCCTCAGGGAGGTGCATCCTACAGTCCCACACCTTGGCCACAAGGGACACTGGAGGTGGCAACAGCACATTTATCTTTATAATTCTTGGTGCCAGATGCGAGGGGAGCAGCTCCACACTCACACACAGCCAGGCTCCCCATCAAACCCCCCATGACACCAGGAGGGGCGACCCTGAGTGCTGCTTTCTTGTCCCCCAGTTCCAGCTCTGGGCTCTCTGCAGCCCAGATCTCCTTTGGTAACACATTCAACCCATTTCCCCACAAATCCTCTGTGATCTGGTCTCATTCAGTCTGATCACAAGAACTGAAACTTGGACTTGTGATGGAGCCCAGGTTAGAAAGCCAGTCCTCTGTGAGTGACAAGCTGGTTTGGGTTTTTTTTTTAAAAAACTATTACAAGTTACAGTTCATACACTGTGGTTTAATTGCATTTGCCCTCCAGCCTTTCCATTAAAAGTAGAACAGAAACCAGCACTTTCAGAATGGAAATGAGAAGGAGAAGAAACCTTCATAAAAAGGAAAATGCTGTGTTTGGAGAGGAAGAATAATTATTGCCACAGGTATAAAAAAGAGGGAAGGAGTCAGATTCGGTGCCATATCCAGGGGCCAAATGCAAGTTATTCAGACCTTTCAAAATGAGGTCACATTGTCACCAGAGGCAAAACGAGAACCACAGGTTATGGCAGAGCTCATGGATCGAGCTGCTGTGCCTGAAATTCCGAGATGCAACGGTGAAAACCCTGAGCTGGAAAGAATGGAACTCACTATTTTAGGGAACTCTCCCTGGAATTCTATTCCATGACTTCACCGACACCAAACGAGGGCAGCCACCAGGAACACTCAGGGAAACCTGGGCCCCAAGGCAAGAGCCATGGGGGTGCTCAGGCAGCAGGGAGACATTCACCCCAGCACCCTCCCCTTCAGCCCAGCACCCTCCCCTTCAGCCCAGCACCCTCCCCTTCAGCCCAGCACCCTCCCCTTCAGCCCAGCACCCTCCCCTTCACCCCAGCACCCTCCTCAGGCTCCAGGAGGAGGAGGACCGAGGAAAGCTCTGCAGAGGACACGAGCAGGAGCAGCAGCACTGAGCCAGCTCACCCCTGCCAAGAGGAAAAGAGCCGCCAAGGGTGGCAGAACCGGCTCTGCAGCTCAGACAGTCTCTGCCAGACAACAGCAACAGGAATGTTATGAGCCGATGAGGAGGAAAATACTAAATATCTCCAAAGGCTGCTATTTTTGGTTGAGGCATGGGTAAACACTAGCACAAACAGCACGTAAAAACCAGCACATTTTGCACTCTGGATTCATTCTCTGGCCAATATTTTCTTTACACAAGTCACTCAAGCTAATATGTAGGAAGCATGAAAGCACTATTTCTGCTTTGCTGGTTATCAAATGGGATTGGAGTAGCCAGGGACATGCTGGGTACGTTTCCAGAGGAGAAGCCAGAGCAGTGAATCTGCATCCTGAAGGAAACCAGTGAGTTCAACAGTTCTGCTGCAGTTCAGGCAAAGAGCCACCCCTGTAAGCCCAGCTGGGTCACTGCCACCCTGCCCAGTGCCAGCCTGGGCCAAAGTTTCAGGGACTGTAACCAGCACTGTGTTGCCTCTGTGACAGCACCAGCAACAATACACTGAATTTCCATGGTGTCTTTCACGATGAAGCCACCTGACCTGCAGATCCCCATTTGTGGCCTTTGCTGCTCTCTGAAAGGAAAGTCAGCAAGTGAAAAACCATGCAAAGTCCAATTGAAACGGTGGGAGGACTTACCTGGCCCAGAAAAATGAGGTAAAATTTGAGGGGAGGAGATCCAGGCTTTCCAGGCTGGCTTCTGACAGGGATGATACTGTGAGGCTCAGCAGTGTCATCTCCACTCTGTCACAGGAACAACTCTTCCCAGGAGGCCAAATGACTTAATAAGTCTTGGGTCCTTCTCAGCAGCAAAGGGGAGGGACTCTCCCTGGGGACCAGCACCACCCTCAAGGTTCATCGCTCAGCAAGGAGGAGACAGCAGCACCCTGGTGACCTGTGGAGATGCAGAGGAGTCACAGAGCACTCTGCAAGCAGTATATATTCTTTAACTGCGTGTTTAATTAAATAGAATACTCGTGTTTTATATTAAACTCACACAGCAGCTGACTATTTAAAACACACATATCGAAGCCCGCCAACAGGGAATGGCTCCAGAGCTGTTCTCCAGATCAACTTCCAAGAGAAAATGTTGCTAAATGTCTCTGAGGCTTTTCCAAATGCCCCTCCTGGGACAGGAAGTTGGTGTTGCTATGCAGAGAAATGGGTCAGAGCCATTGGGTTTGAACTTAAAATATTGCTTTTATTGCTCACCCTGAACATACTGAGGCGACTGGCAAAGAGGAGAGGCAGGGCCAGGCGGGCAGTCAGCACATTTGCCACGGTGCTCTCAGCGCTGGGAGGGTGATGGATTGTTTCCTGAGCTCCATTTGCTGTTCCCAGCAGTGCTTTCCCATCTCCCCTGGCAAGTGGCTCTGCCCTTGCCAGTCAGTGACTCCTGGCCTGGCCGGTGCCACCCTGCAGAGCTGGGATGGATGGGGATGAAACAGGCTCTGATTGCAAGGAGAAACCTCAGAGAGGGGCAGGGGGGAGAGGGAAAGGCTGGTGTGACCTGAACAGGCACCTGGCTGTGCCAGAGCGTCGCTGAGGTGAACAGGGTTTGGCTGGGGGAAAAGAGACACAACTGAAATAAATCCTCAAAACTCCAGAATTAATCCAACTGCAGCTTCAAATCGTTTATTTTGCAATGCATGTCTATGGTTGTGCTCACTTCAGAACTGGCACAGACACAAATATCCTGTTCCCAGAACAGAAATCACCGGGTTGGGCATTTTCACATACAAGTGCATGACACTGAATCGCAACAGAGGGTTGAACAAAGCCCCAAACACAACCCACAACATGTACAATCACAGCTGGCAACCAACAGTTTTAACCTCCTGTCGAATGCAAAACAATAAATCTATTTCAAACCCTGTGAAATTAGGTAATAGTTGTAATGCTAACTAAAGCTTGCAAATTTGAAATAATAAACGAGGTTTACACGACTTAATTTTACAGGGACTTACTACTTTTTCCCTCCAAACTCTCTAATTTGTTGCCATAATTACATTAAATTGAAGCTGAGTTGTTTTCAAGTCCGGATCTAGCTGGAGCTTCTTGTTCCTATTCCAGACCCAAAGAAGAATCTGTTGCCCTAAAGCCCGTCCAGTCTCTAAATCTATTGACTGGATACTCTAATTTCACTATAAACCTATTTATCCCATAGCCTTAGATCCTCACTACTACAACACTAATAGTAAATTACATAGGACTAATTATGAGGGTGAAATAAGCACCCGAGCAGTGCTGGGGAGAGGCTGCAGCCGGGGCATTTGGAGAAGGATTGGGCACAAGGGCAGAGGCTGTGATTTCACCCTCCTGTTTCCAGTGGCCCCAGACAATGCTCACCCAGTCAGAGCACCAAAAAGAGCCCATCACCTCGCTTTTAGCTCTGCTCTCTAAAGTTTTAGCTCAGTGGGGATGCTGGTTTTCCCTACAGGGAAAACCTTTAGATCTTGTCCTCCTTTTTCCTTTGCCTTTTCCAATTTGGCTCAGGAATAAACTTACCACAAATCCCCGTCCAATTCCATCGGGAATGAAGCAAAACACGACAGTCTCTCAGTCACCTCTCGGTCTGTTCCAGGGATGGATCCTGAAGTCTTGCAGGTCTGACACACACGGTCCTCAGGGCCTCAGTGCCCAGGACTCCCCAGCCAGCAGACTGAATTCTGCAGAACATTGGCCCTTCCCTCTGCCCAAGTCAAGGCAAAAATGAATCAGAGAATTTGGGGGGGAGGGCGGGGAGGAATCATTTGGCATTTTTTACATTAGCTTAGCCTTTTTACCGAGATCCATTTTAATGCACCACTGCACTAACGAACTAAAAATCTGCATTAGAAAGCGAGTCATGGTGGGAGCCATGGACACAGCACCCTGGTGGCCTAGAGATGCACGACCTGAGCTGGACTCGGGCCAGACCCCCCTGTTCGAACAGGGGGAACAGCCAAAGGCATCCCCTGAGCAGCCAGGGCCTGATGCCAGGGCAGGCTGAGCAAAGAACCCACAGTGGTGCCCGGCAGAGCCAGAGCCCTGCTCCTGGCAGCCCCAACCAAAACGCCCAGTGGCACAAACCTCTGCAGGGCTGAACACAGAGGCAGCCTCTTCACAGCATCCACCCGAGGGCCCCACTCGTCCCTGGCACTGCACCATCGTGTTTCTGGCACCGGCAAAGCTGGTTTTTTAATTCCTTAATGCTGTGCACCTGCTGGGTTCCACATTCCCTAACGCAGATAATAATTTCCTCATTAGGAGAAGCCATTGAATCGATAGCACTGAGCAGTGGGTGAATTGAGGTCGTTTGTCTGCTAAGACCAGCACTGGTCTCATTAAATGTGCATGAGCAGCACCCCCCTCACTGCAGGGCTCACTCTTCCTCCAGCTCCTTCCACGGGCTGGTTTTTCCGCGGAATTTTCCTCTGCACTTCCCATTTCTACTGAGTAAGCTTCCCTTCGCTCAGGGCTCGCTCCGAGCCGCTCCACGAGCCCTCTCTCACCCCGCTCCTCCTGAACGTGCCACAGCAGCCACGTTCCAGCTGCCCCTGCTGCCACTTGGACCACGGGAAGCGGCTCCACCGGCACCGGGATGGACGGCAACGCCAACGCCTCTGGAGCAGGGAAAGGCTGGACCCTGGGGAGCAGGCAGTGCCACGGTTCATGATGGCATGTTAACTGTTCTGGGTTGCTACAATAAACAGCTCCCAGCCCGGGGCCACCTTTTGCCATTTTCCAAGTTAAAAACGCTGAACAGAACTGTGGTATTTAGCCTGGAGCTGCCACAACAGGCGTGAAATCCTGTCTTAGTCTCCTGGTAAATGATCCTTGTTATAAGGGGAAAAGACTAATGAATGCATCCATATGAGCCATCAAGAGCAAAATAAAGGCAGACATAAAGGAAGATAGAGGCAAAGAATGGACATGTTTTCTGCCAATGTCATTCTTCATACAATAGATGCAGTTTCTTTCTTTCCTCAGATGGGAAGATGGGCTTGACACCATCTCATCAACAGCAGCTGTAATAAGAGTTCCTTGCTATTAATATGCAAATTGAAATGCACACACTGATTAAAACCATGTTAGACAAAGGCTTTTGTCAGAGACCCATGAGCAGGAGACAGGGCTCGATTAGGGAGCAGTGGCCCTCTACAAAATCCATCATAAAGTCCAACACTTGAGCCCAGTGCAGTAACTTCATTGGGAACACATTGCAGTGCTGATGGACACCTGCTCTCTCTCCTGAGATCCCAAAAGTTCAACCCCCAAACTGGGTCCCACCTGTCTCCAGAGGTGCCCCAGCCCTGGGGGTTCTGCACGGCCCCTCCTGGTGGGACAGGGCTGGCAGCTGGTCGGGTCAGCAGCCTCAGACAGGACCAGGGAGCTGCCAGCACAGCCCCGAGCAGGAATCAGACTTCCCCATACTTAATTTGGAGATTATGGAAGGTGGTTTTAAAGGTCAGGACTTGCTAATTAAGTTGATGCAATAGGAACTTAACAAAGGAAGCAGCACTTAGGTACCAGGAGCATTCTCCCCCTGTGATTAATCTCTGTGTGAGGCTGTCTGGGGCAGCCTCACGTTACACCCCGTTGCCATAGAGCTCTGTTGCCTCCACACGGAGCCAGATAAAACCACACACTTGTGTTGTGCTGTGTCTGAGCATAAAACACCACAGTGTCTTGCCCCCAAAACATAACGTGGCACATCTGCACCAGAGCCTAGAGAGCTGCGTTATTACAGGCAACAAACTCTAATAAAACACATCCAAAAGATTACAGTTCCAGTGTTAACAACCACATTTCCAGCTGTCTCCCAGTGACAGCACTATTCCAGTTAGCACTGCTCTGCAAAGTTTGTGTGGGGTGACACCCAGCCAGACTGATGACAAGTTATTGAGATTTACTTCCTTTACAGAACATCTTGCACAGAATTTTAAGCTGGGAAAACATTTGGCCAGAACAAAACTAAATTCTGTAATGTATAGATAGATGGAATGCATGAAAAATGCAGAGTGCGTGTTTGGTTTCTTTTTAATTAAGAAAATACATGCAAGTGTTTTCACCCTTCAGTTTAAAGTAACCCTGGGGGACACAATGGTTGCACTGAACCATTTTCAAAGTTCTCTGATACATCCACTCACAGTGTTTCAGCCTGGGGTGGTTGGACCAGGCTCGACATCAGAGATCTGGCAGCATTTCTGCAGGGATCACTGACTTACCACGAGGAGATTTGTCTTTTTATGTCTTGCTTTGAAGGCCTAATGAACTTAGGAAAAGCAAGAGATTAGAAGGATTTAGGAGCCAAAGCCTGATTGACTGGACCAGGAGAATATTTGCAACAAACCCAAATGTTGCACTGCTCTGTCACCCCAGGAGAGCTGGGGGGATGTGATGGGGCAGCTCACCCTCACTCACCTGCTCCTCACTCACCTGGGCCGTGTGGGAGGTGGGATGTGGGACGTGGGAATCCCACTGGCAGCGCTGATGCTCCTGCTCTGAAGGGCCACAGGACAAACCACCCACCCGAGAGGTGCTGGAGGGGCAGAAAGTCTGGATCTTCCTAAATTAGAGACAGGACCTCTGCCTTTACTCATCCTCTTAGACCAAGCAAGCCACCAGCTCCGGGCCAGGTCCCAGAGCCAGGGCAGGAGGACAGCCAGCCTTGCACAGGCTGGGAGCAGAGGGCAGGTCTGACCCAGCTCACTGCAGAGCTGTCTCCACACCTGCCTGGGGAAAGAAATTGTGCTTGTGCTGTAATTAATTTGCTGCAATTAGCTTGTAGTGATTACTAGAGCACACAGTTGGAGGATTTTTGTTTTTCTCTCCTGACAAAAACTCCTCTGCAGCACCCTGGGTGCCGCCTGGGGGAGGACTCCTCTGGGGGAAGGAGGCTCAGAAGAGTCAGCCCTGCACCCGCATGACTGATGTGCCCTATTTCTGTAAATCATTCTCTCTGTAAAGAGGCAGTTTAGCTTCGGGAACACTGGCAGCTTGTGTTATTACCCAAAACACAATAAATGAAACCACCCCACAGCTACGAAACCCAAGGAGATGTTTACTCATCTGTGAACAACCCATTCTCCTCCGCACACGAAAGGCATCGATGCGAGAGCACAAATTAATCACACAGAGCCTCTGCAGTGGCTCCCTCTGTCCCCACTGAGCGAAGGAGGTGATGCTGTAGCACCCCTGACCCATCCCTTGGCGGGACCAGAGGCTCAGGCACAGCCCAGGGGGCCGAGGCTCCCGCCCAGCAGAGCTCCAGGATGCGGAGCAGCGAAGGTCAATCCTCTGCCTCGGCTCCTTCTCTCTGCTCAGACTCCCAAAGCAGGCAGAGGGGACGAGCTGCTGCTGCTGGTGGGCACAGCAGCGTCCAGCCTCGGGCTTGCATCAAAGTCCACCAAGCAAACAGCTTCTGTCGAGCCTGCAGGAATCCCACCAGCAGGGAAAAAAGGAATTTACCCTTTCATTTTAGTGTTCTTTGCTCATGGAACCATTTGTTTCTCCAGAGACAAAGAGGGAAGGAAAAAGCTCATCCGTTACACAGTCCCTGTGATTCACTGCTGTTGCTCTTTATGTTGACACAAACCATGCTGGAGAAGGTGAAGAAAGTGTGTTTATTTCTGATTGAAGACTGATTACATCACTATCATGGATAATGTAATAGAATAATCTTATGCTCTTGGGAGAAATCTAAGAATAAATATGAAAAAGTAAAATAGTTTGTTTCCACTGTCCCTGAAGATGACTGATGAGTAAGTGCTGTATTTACAGGATAGTTATCATACTCTAGACTCTGTGCTGAATAAATATTGTCCTGAAAGGGTAAAAAAATCCATCGAAATATTTTAACTCACCACAAAATTAAAAAAAAAAATCCATGTATTTGTCCAAAGCGAAGGTTAGTTACATGTTAATTATTGAATCCACACGGGATCATTGTCCAAGGAAGCCTCCTCTCCTGCTGACCCGCTCCTCTCTGCAGAAGCAGCATCAGTGCTTGTCCTCGTCCCCACTGACCAGCTACTACTGGTTCTTCAGGCTGCAAGAGAGAACCAAGGCCAAAGTCACACTCCATCCTGGTGGTCCCTGTCCCACTCCATCCTGGTGGTCCCTGTCCCACTCCACAGATCTGCCCGTGCACTGTCCCCCCGTGCCTGGGCAGAGCTGAGGGGACCCAGCATTGGGCAAACCCACAGTTCTCCACAGAACCACCAAAGAAATGCTTTATGTGATCCAAGGGGAGACTTCAGATCTAAAAAAAAAATAAAATATATATATATATAAATAAACTCTTTCCATCTAAAGCATGTTTGCAATTTTAAGGACATTTTTTTTGCATTTTGTGAAAGAAAATCCCCATAGCAATTCGGAAAAAGTATCCTTTCTCTAGATTCTGAACTTGAATTTAAGAGCCTCACAAACCCTGCCCAACTTGCCCCCTCCATGGCCCAGCTGATGAGAACTGGAATTGGTGTTGGTGAGTTCAGGTTTGTGCTTTGAGCACTCAGCCCAGTGTTTGGGCTTTACATTAGAAAAATTAATCTGTACACCTGACACCATGACACAAAGTTGCACAGGCCATCCTGGGGCTTTCAAATTATGATCAAAACAGAAGATATCAGAGATATCTTATTTTCACTTACATTAAAAGGGAAGGGAGGAAATTTAGACCTATAATGAGAGAAAGTATTACACACTCTCTTCACAGGCAGTGCAATTATTCAGCTGCTCTCTGGAACTGAAACAATGACAAATTAAAATGCCTTTCAGTTCTATCTACCTCTTATAACTATTCATCTTCTGGAGCTGCTATTGATCTAAAGGCTTCTTTAGGCATCAGACACCACATATTACAGAAAGCACATGGAAATGTTACTCTTACCAACAAAAGCTGCAGCCACCAAGGTAAGAGCAAACTCATTTGGCTTGGGTGTGTAGTGCATGGTAGGACTCGGGGATTTACTCTAATTTCCAGAAATGTATTGGAAATCCTTTATCAAAGAACCCATTGCTTCTGGGTGAGGATGCCCAGGAGGAGCCCGACCTTCTGGCACCGGAGACAGGGCTGGAAACACCCAGAGGGAACAGAAACCCTGCCTGGCATCAAACGTGCCCCAAATGGAGCTGCCCAGGCGTCGGCTGTGCCAGACACACAGACCCCAGGACGAGCTGCAGCCACAACAGGCTGTCAATATTTGTTCACACCTTCCTAAACAGACGGGAGAAGCGAGGGAGACGCAGCCATGGGGAAGGCTGACATTTCTCCAGGCACGATATTTACAATATTTTGATTAGCTCTGATTCCTGAATAGCCGAGCAGCTTATGGTGATAAATGCCCTGCTCCAATCAGACATCTGGGTTCTCAACCAGGGGAAAAAAAAAAAAGGAAAGAAAAGAAAAGGAGAGAGGAAAGAGCCCACCCAGGCCCAAGCCTGCTGTCCCTGCTCCTCAGCAGGACATCGACCATCTGGGCTTCCACAGGGTGCAGCCCAAAGCCAACGAAGGGCTGTGCAGGAAGGGCTGCAGAGCCACCTCCCCGACTGGGCGTGACCATTCCCAACTCTTTAGAATTCATTTTGACCACTGCATTGGTTTTACCCCAATGACAGCTGCAGGATCGGGTCCCCTCTCTGCAAAAGCCCTAAAATTAATCAGGAACCCAGAGCTGGAAAGGGAAACCCAGACGTGTATTAGCATCCAGGAAAGCGTAAATGAGTGGTTATAAAACCCCGGAATACATTTGTGAGCTCTAGATGTGGCAGAGAGGCCTGGCTGATCAAAGAGACAAAATGAAGGCGAGAAGAGAAAATTCTTTATGGAAGTGGTAATCATTATCCCCACACAGTCAGACTCTTAATTACTAGGGCTGGATCTCAGCCTCCCATCACTGACAGCCCGAGTGGTGGAGGACAGCTCCCAGCTCAGCTCCCAGCTCCCAGCTCTCACTCCCTGGCACGTTATTGCAACGTGTGATGGATCCACAGCCAGCCCAGGGATGGCACTGACCCCAGATGTGGGTCTGGGCTCTGTGGTCTGCCAGCACCACCTCTGGTCCTTCGACCCACCCGCCCTGAGGAGCTGCCTCAGACCCAGGCCCAGGCCCTCTGGAGCATCTTCCCCAAACGCAGCTACTCTGTCCTGGCCCCAGCAATGTCCCAGCCCGTCCCCAGCCTGTCCCCAGGCCCTGCCAGGAGGGAAACGCTTTTTGCAAAGCCCCAGGGTAAACATTCCACAAAGCACTGCTCTGACCCGTGGAACTGGAGGATCCTCTGGCTCCTTCCACAACTACCTGGGACCTTTAATCCCTGTTGTTCGCTGCAAATCACTTTGAGCAGCTGATTTCTCATCTTTGCAGTTCACATAAAGCAGAAAAGAGGGAGGGTTTGTTTCTGCCAGCCCACGGCAAGCAGTGAGGAGCCAGGCTGGCACGTGCTTCCCTCCCAGCCCTTTGGAGGACACCTTCACAGCTGGCATTTTGGCTGCTGCTGGTCCCCCCAGGCCAGAGCTGCTGGTGCCCACCAGGGCTCAGCCTGGCACCCTGCCCAGCACTGCTGCTCCACTGCTCCTCTGGGGGGAGGAGGGAGGGAGGGAGGGAGGAGATTAAAAAAACCCACATCTATTTCTGGAAAGCAAGTCAAACAATGACTCAATCATCTCTACGCAGTTCATAAATCCCTAATTAAAGGTTTTAGTGCTCCTCCCCGCTGCAGATGTTCCAGAGTCCATCCACATCCCAAAACCTGCTCTGTGCATCTCCCGTCAGAGCCCGAGCAGAGCACGTTCCCACACGTTCAAGGCAGCATTTTGCCTCAATTTTCAAATACACAGCTCAAGTACCTGCACCCTGGAGAAAAAGATGGGAGCTGGCAGATGTATCTGCTTTGCATATTCACTGGCCGGAGGGATAAGGACTGGCTCAGTATTAGCTCCCTCCTCCTGCATCTTTTATTCAACACCAAAACACAAGCCCAGACACTTCCAGCTTCCCTCCCAAGCCCTATTTTCCCTGTTCTGGTCAAACAAATGTAGTCAGAAACATTTGGGGAAGCCCCTGAAATTCCTGTGAACGGCTCAGCCCTGCCCACCAGACTGCCCAGGACATGACCCCCAAATTCTGTGCTGCCCACGGAGCTGCAGGACCCCCAGCCCCGTGTGGGGCAGTGACAGGGTCCTGGGAACACGTCTGCCCAGTATTTTTTGGGTGGTACCAGCTTCCGCCATGCAATCACCTTCCCTGCTCACCTGTCCAGGAGCAAAATCCCTGTATCCCTTCATCCATTTCCTTCACAAACTGCTGCCCCCTTCTTCGGGTCTGTTTAGTTTTTAATTATATGAAGTATGACAGCTACATAAAATGTTTTGTTGCCTTGGTAACTGCAGTCCACTGGCTTCAGCCTGAGTTACGAGGCAGAGGACAGTCTTGACATTAACCAACAATAATGAGAACAGCAGAAACCAGTGGGAAAACACTGGCCAAGGTACAAGGAGGGGACAATCCTCACCCGTCCCCCAGTGCAGAGCACCCTTGGGAGCCACGGTGCTGCAATGGCCCAGTGGGACATCATGGCTGTGGGAACTCGGCAGAGGACCAGGTCTGGATTTCCAGATTCTCTCTCTTTGTATAGAGGAGGTAATTGCTCGGAGAAAGCTACAGAAACACAGATGCAGCCCTGCCAAAATCCCTTGTTTGCGCTGCCCAGCACATCCCTTTGCACTGGGAACGGGCTGAGCCGAGGGCACACGTGCCATTAGTCACTTCTACAACAGCCACAGCACTCCTACAACAGCCACAGCACAAATAACTTCCCAAGGTGTTCATCCCCAGCACTAGAAATTAAGATTTCTTCATCTCTGCTAATTGCAGGAGACTGCACATCGGAGCAGGTGTGGGGATACCCCAGAGGACCAGGTACCCTCCTGGCACTGCAAAGTGGTGGCACATCTTTCTGCACATCTCTATTTCCCATCCATGAGGCTGCTGTGGTTTGAGATGAACTCCTTTATCCTTCACAGTAATACCAGCAGCCACCACAGCAATAATCATACAGGCTCAGAAGGACTGGCAGGGGAAGGATAAATTACAGCTCTGGGCCCAGGCAGCTCAGCACAGATGCTCTCATTCCAGGTTTCCCACGGGAAGAGCTCTCAGCTCTATTTTCCAGCAGTGGGAATTTGTTGCACTG